GGTCGAGAGGCTCCGCCAGCAGTTAGAGGAGGATCTGAAGAAAGCAACCGATAGTGAAAAAGAGATAAAAAGTAGAGCAGCAAAAAAAGACTTGATACGTTAGAGGCTGACAAGGCTGCGTTAGAGGGATTGGACGAATCAAGTTTGTCTGACCCCCTGAAAGTGTTGAGGGACAACATGTTGTCACTGCATGCGCATGTGGACAGCAGGATGGACTTCATGCAAAGCACTTTGGACCATATCCTAGATGCATTGACAAAGCCAGGATTCCGGCCACCAGCACAATCGCCGTTGCCGTTAACGGCGATGTCAGGCCCCTTTGCCGTTCAAGTTGGCACACAGCCAAGTGGCACATCCGCAGCAGCAGCACATACTGTTGCATCTTCTTCTTCGGGTCCAGTGGTGATTGCTGCATCACCACAACAACCTGTTCAGTCAACTGGACAGCCGCAAGGTCAATGGTATCCCAAGACCCCAATGAAACCACCTCTTGCCTTCTCCGGCGAGAGAAAGGACGAGGAACTCAACACATGGTTGAGGACGGTCTCGGCTTGGGTGAAGGCCAAAAGGACCTTGCCTGAGGACGAAGTGGTAACTGCGGCGTCTTACCTTGAGGGTAAGGCAGCCAAGTGGTTAGATGGTGTAGTTGTGAAGGCCGGGTACGGGAGACGCATGGTGGATTGGGCTAAGTCATTGACTTTAGACCAATTCATGGAGATGGTTGAAGCTCGATGGCATAACCCACAGGAGGCTCAAAGGGCCACTAATGCCATTAACAAACTTGACCAACGCAAGTTCAGGTCAGTTAGGGAGCTTACGACTACCGTCGAAAGCTTGATCCTCGTCCCAGGCATCAACTACAGTGACCAATTCCTTTTAACCACGTTTGTTAGGTGTTTACCTGAGAACATGAGGAACTAACTAGCCAGTGAGGCACGCACTGAGTACAACTCATTTGAGACATTGTCTAGGAAAGCTTTAGACTTAGAGGCCACGCTAGGCAATGCTCAACCCACCTCAGGGAATGACTCAAAGAAGAAGAAGAGTCCTCAGGAGTGGAAGAAGAAGGGGACGAAGTTGATGATGGTTGAGTCTAATGGGACTCAAACTGAAATCGATGAGCTCTCTGACTTGATGGACTACTCAGAGTATGACGGTGAGGAGGTAGCTGAGGGTAGCACCCTCGCCGCGGTAGTTAAGACTAAGGCGGCATGCCGAGCGAAGGGCCAGCCTAGGGGTCAAGGGAAGGCCGCCTCCAATCAGACCAAACAGGCTGAGTGGACTAAGGCAGGTCTTGATCAAGACGTGTGGCGTGACCGCCGATCGCGTGGCGCTTGCATCAACTGCGGGGAATACGGACACACGCAGTGGAAGTGTCAGAACACTAAGGTTACGCAAAAGGTTGCGCCAAAAGTTGGGGCAACTTTTTTCCAGGCTTCTAGCTCGGGAAACACGTGAGGCCAGTGGAAGTAGTAGCTGCTTCTACTCAAGATGAAGTAGGAATGATACCCTCCCTACTTCATGACAAGGCCAAGGCTAATGACCCCTTAGTCACCCCGCAGACACAACTAGACCAAACTATGCTCTGTACAKTAGATGTGTCTGAAGCCTTAGAGGACTTRGAGAGTGARTGGTCRAACAAGGACCCTCGCGAGTCCTRGGTGGCACTAAGGAAAGGTCCTAGAGGGGAACATTTCGTGGTGGAAGTCGATGTGGGAGGCCGCAAATGTGGTGCCTTCATAGACATTGGCTCCACGCGRAATTACATAAGTCGCGACTGTTTGGAAAGRCYGCACCTACARGACCGGGTACGGCACCTTAGTAGACCCGTAGCATCTACTTTSGCCAACAAGGARCGCATGATTGTAACARACTACATCAAGGACGTAGTYTGTACCTTCTCCTATGGAGGAGGTGAGCTTAACCATAAGATCTCGTTCTTGGTTAGCGACGACTTGCCATTYGAWATGTTGTTAGGCATGTACTACCTCGAAGTTGCTGAGCCCCAGTTCGACTGGGATAAGAAGGTGCTCAAATACAAGTTGCCCGATGGCCGAACCGTCAGATTGACTAAGTTCAAGGYCAGTAGTATTGTAGATACCTATGGCTGCTTGTGCGCATCAGCATTCTATAACTATTACAAGCAAAACCGAGAGGAGGGTATGTACCTTGTTTATGTCTCTGAGAAGGGGGAGGCCGTTAAAACACCCCCAGAGATAGAACGCATCGTTGCTAAGTTCCCTGATCTGTTCGAGGAACCCTCAGGAGTTGTTGATAGGGAAGTCGTCCACGCTATAGAAATCATTCCAGGGAGTAAGACCCCAAAGGGAAGGATCTATAGGATGGCCCCTACCGAGTTAGATGAACTTCGGAAGCAACTCAAGGAGCTGACAGAGAAGGGTTGGATTCGTCCTAGTACTTCCCCTTACGGATCACCCGTGCTATTCGTTCCGAAGAAGGGGGGTACTTTGAGGATGTGCATTGATTATAGAGTCCTCAATGCCATCACTATGAAAAACGCAGAGCCTCTACCTTGCATAGACGACCTACTGGATAGGGTGCAGGGATGCAAGTACTATACGAAAATAGACTTGAAATCCGGATATCATCAGATCGCAATAAGACCTGAGGACCAACACAAGACAGCTTTTCAGACTAGATATGGTCTGTATGAGTTTGTAGTGATGCCTTTCGGTCTTTGTAATGCGTCGGGTACATTCCAGCACGCTATGAATCGAATCTTCCATGATCATTTAGATAAGTTTGTCGTAGTCTATCTAGACAACATTCTGATTTTTAGTAAGTCTGCCGAGGAGCACGCACAGCATCTTGAGACAGTTCTCTCACTCCTTCGACAGCACAAGTATAAGGTCAACTTAGAGAAGTGTGAGTTCGGTCGCACAAAGATTCTATACTTGGGTCATGAAGTATCCGCGGAAGGAATTAGGTCGGAAGATGCGAAGGTGGCTAGTATTCAAGACTGGCCACGACCTCAGACAGTCACTGAGGTCAGATCATTCTTAGGAATGTGCGGCTACTATAGGAACTTCGTAAATAACTATTCTACAGTCGCCTCTCCTTTGACTGATCTAACTCGACTTGACACACCGTGGGACTGGAGTGATGAGTGCGAGGGTGCTTTCAAAAGATTGAAGCATGCACTCATGAATCATGAAGTTCTCATGGTTCCCGATCTGCAAAAGCCATTCATAGTGACCACTGACGCAAGCCAATACGGCATTGGCGCAGTGCTGGCTCAGCGGGATGGAAAAAAGTTGAGACCGATTGAGTACATGAGTAAGAAGATGCCATCGAAGAAGCTGGCTAAGTCCACCTACGAAAGGGAACTCTATGCTCTCTACAAGGCACTTGTCCATTGGAGACACTTCCTTTTGGGAAGATTCTTCTATCTGAGGACTGATCATCAGACCCTCAAATGGATCAAGACTCAACCGGCTCTTTCTGATGCACTCAAGCGATGGATTGAGGTCATAGACCAATATGACTTCAAGCTTGAGTACCTGAAAGGAGAGTACAACAAGGTTGCAGAAGCGCTATCCCGTAGAGCAGACTACCTAGGTGCGCTAGTTTCTGAATTTGGCGTATCTAATGAAGTAACTCAATCATTGGTGGGAGCCTATCAGGAAGACCCTGTCACGATGGACATCATCCGCAAACTTCAGGCAAAAGACAAGGCCACAGAAAGTGAGTTTGTGATGGTGGATGGGCTAATCTATCTTGATAAGGCCGGAGTAAAGAGATTGGTAGTTCCATCTAGTGAACAGTTGCGTAGTTTATTTTTAGGCGAATGTCATGACGCAACTGGGCACTTTGGCTACAAGAAAACGAGTGCTAACTTAGTACAACGATTTTGGTGGCCCAGAATGTTAGATGACGCAAAGAAGTATGTTGAGACCTGTCAGGTCTGTCAGCGAGACAAGCCGCGAACCCAAGCACCACTTGGGTTATTGAAGCCTTTACCTATTCCTGATGGTCCAGGATTGAGTGTTTCCATGGATTTCATGGACACCCTTGTGACCAGCAAGAGTGGTAAGAGGCACATCTTCGTCATCATTGACCGATTTACCAAGTACGCTAGACTCATTCCAATGCCAGAGACAGCCAGGACAGAATACGTCATCAAGTTGTTCAAGGACAATTGGGTAAGGGACTTTGGTTTACCAAAGACCATCATTAGTGATCGGGACGTCCGATTCACAAGTGAGTTGTGGAAGAAGACTGCGGAACAGATGGGCAGTCAACTTCAAATGACTTCAGGGAATCATCCCGAAGCCAACGGACAGGCTGAACAAATGAATAGAGTTGTACAGCACTTGCTGAGGCATTACATCAAGCCCAGCGAGGATGACTGGGATGAGCAGTTACCTCTCATCGCTAGCCTGTACAACAATGCTATACATAGTAGTACCGGCGTTAGTCCTAACCAGCTGCACTTAGGATGGAAGCCTAGATCAGCATTAGACTTCCTCCTACCTGAAAACCGACCCGATGCAACTCTAGGCACACTTGAATATGGTGTGCAATATGAGAAGTTGCTGCAAGATGCTATTGAACATATGAAGAAAGCTCAGCAAGCCATGATTGCTTCTGAGAATCAACATCGCAGACAGTCCACATTTCAGGTAGGGGAAAGTGTCTGGGTCAAGGCTAGTGAGTTAGGACAGGAGTTCGGAATATCTCGTAAACTAATGCCTCAATACTTTGGTCCCTGGGAAATCTTGGATGTAGTGGGAGATGAGTCAGATGGTCCCACATATGTCATTCGTGGCCCTGGACACCTACGCACTCACCCAGTCTTTCATGCCTCAAAGCTTGCACCTTTCGCTGAGACTGATCAATTCCCTTCCAGGAGATCGATGCTGGCCCCAACCATGGATGGACAAGTCGACATCGACGACATTGTGGATCACAGGGATATGCCTGTTCCGAAGCCGCTGGGTCGAGGAAGACCTCCTAAACCCAAGAGGGAGTACTGGATCAGATTCAGCTAAAAGGGAAGGCACCTGAGAAGTAAGCATCTCAGTGGACTTTCGAAGCTAAGGGGGATGGAATGTGAGGATTGAGCCCTCAAGTAGGGGCCTTGCCATGATGTACATGTTCTGGGCTAAGGCCCCAGCAAGCCTAGTGCCCGCCCTAAGTGAAGGCGGGCCAGCAAATCAACAAGAGCCCTCTCGGCCAACATTTCACGAAGTGGGGTCTATACAGTTGTAGCACGTCAGTTGGTTGGAGTGCACCGAGTCTCGGATTTCCCTGGGCACTCGAACGTGAGGCCAACAATGCATGCTGGGTAGAGAGGCCGAAATGCCAAAGGGAAAATCGGCCCACTATCTGAATCTGGCCGCAGGCCTTGAGAAGAGAGGCGCAACTGCATTGCTCCGGGGCCCAACTGTATCGGGTAGGCTTCAGCCTCTGCGTCCCGGTCGCAGGCTGAAGGGAGGCCGCCCACATGCTGCATTGGCATATATGCAAGCAGGGCGAGGCAGCAAGGATCTTGGCCAATGCTGGCGCATGCGGGCACGCTGCGCGGATGCATGTGTGCTGCGCTAAGAGCAAGCAGGCCAGCGCTAGGCGGTAGGGCGCTGCCTGCACTGAGGGCACTGGCGGCCATAGCCTGGGCCGCAAGAGGGTGCAGGGGAGGTGAGGGCGAAGGTGGTACTTCGGAGGTGAAGGGCGCTGTGTGGGTAACAAGGGAGAGTGTGGGGAAGATGACACGTACCTGGTGATGGTGGAATACGGCATTGGTGTTGACATCATCACTCGCTGGTAGTCAAGTTGTCTGGTTGCTGTTCATTGCTGTAGTTGTAGGATAGGCTGTAGAGTAGATAGGGCGCCTGGCGCCATTCACAAGAGAGAGCTACATTTGGGTTATGCTGTTGGTGTTGCCCTGTTGGGCATGGACATTGACTCACGATTCTTCTGTATCATTCTSAATKGGATGGTTACTCGGTTCCATGTGCTATCTGCTTTGGCTTTGAATACTTGGACTTCAGTGTGATTTTACATTCTGGATTTCTGTGCTTCGTCCATACTCATGTTCCTTGCATGAGCAGTGCGGAAAGCAAAAATGCACCAATAACACACCGAAGGAGAGCTAAATCAACAAACTCAGTTGACAAAGACAGCCCTCTCTCGCCAAAATCAACAGAGTATCGGACGTCCCTTCCTCCTGTCGGCGCTTAGCACCCAGACTACTATCACACAGCTCCTATGCTAGCCTACGCTAATGATGAAGCAACCTGATGACGTCAGCAGGAGAAACCAAAGTACATGCAGATGTTGCCCATGCAGACCTCCAGGACGAACCAGGTAGGTGTCCTCTCTGTGTCTCTCTCCCTCTCTCTCGCCCTCGCTCCGCTCACCCTCGTCTTCTCCCCTACACACACTCTCCACGTCACCCACGAAGACCACCACCACCTCGGCTGACCAACTGCGCCCAAGCCCAGCTATGGCTGGCTTGGCACTGCGATGCCTCAAGCAACGCCCCTCACCCCACAAGCGCCTGCGTGCACCCGGCCTCTTCCTGCTAGTGGCTGTGAGCCCTGCTGCACTACACACAAGTGCCCAAATGTTCCTCCAGCGGCCCAGCACTTTCCTACATGGAAAGTGACTGGGCTTGCTGGCTGCCCAGCCAGGCAAACGTGTGCCCAGTAGCTTCATGCTGGGCCAAAGTGTCTGCGCCCAGGCCCAGTGCAGATCGTGGCCTGGGACCGAAGCAGTTAGGCGCGCCCACCTGCCAGACGTGGGCTGCGTCACTCGCTGCTTCTGGATAGGCCGAAGGGCCTACTTGCACGTCGCAGCAGGACGAGCCTAGAAGGCTCAAGAAGTCCCGGTTGCTCGCGTGCAGGGCGCGGTAACCAACGGGCGCGTGGTAACCACCAGGGCGTTGAAATGGCCAAATTTAGGTCTCATTGAGACATTCCGGCCCGCCTTCACTTAGATCGATCGGACACAGGGCTAGCAGCAGGGCCCCTTACGGGCATGCCGAGGACAAAGATCATCGCACCAGAGTCAACAAACAACAAAAAAAACGAGTAATAATTCGGACCGCCAGGATGGTCTGCTTCCGGGTCCAATATATTCAACATCTATACAAACCTACGTTACCAGAGTGGCTCAGCACCACTTACGCGGCAGGGCCAAAAAAGAATGAAAAAAAAAGAAAAAAAAGCCAGGATTTGAGCCCTCAGCAGAGCCCCAAATGGCCCTGCCCTACTGGATGCCGGGCCCTGTGCCTTACCTGCGGCCTATTGTCCTTAAGAGGCCCATTTTGACCTGTGCACGGGGGTCCCAGCGCCAGTTGGTTGGGCAAACAGCATCTTGGGAGGCTGTGTGACCACGCCCTCCAGGCCCAGAGGCTGCGCAGTGGCTGCAAGCCTACCGGCCAATGAGAACGCGACAAACAGAGAGGGGCACGTCAGGCAGTTGAGCCCTGTACCCAATCGGGGCCCAGGGCACATTCGGGGAAGGCCCTGGGCGCAGATGCCAGGCACGGCTGTAAAGCCACTGGGTACAATGCGCGTGCACCCAGGCAGGTAGGAAGCAAGTGCCCCTTTCCATATAGGAAAGTGCCTGCCTCCAGTCCGGACACTTTCTGGCTGGAGGCTTCTGCAACAGTGCTGCCAGTTTGCATGCTGGCCTCCTTTCAACCACTAGTACCTTTGTCGGTTCAGAAAATAGCGGGCCTCGGACCTTTCAGCAGGCCGAAACGAAACGACGGCCGCCGATTAGATTTATCAATGGCAGCCGTCGTCGGGCCCGGCCTCCGAATTCTTCAGGAGCCGGCATTTTCCCTCATTTCTGAAGAGGCAAAGGCACTAGTGGTTAAAAAAAAGAGGGGCAAGGCAGGGCGCTGGCTGGAGAAGGGGTGCACATGGGCGCTGGCTGGAGAAGGGGTGCACATGGGCGCTGGGAGCGGAGCTGCTGGGCACGGCTCAATGAGCGGCAGCCATAGCCAGGCTGCTCACTCTGGACGCCGGTGAGGTTGTTCGTGGTCCTTAGGCGAGGTGGAAAGCCCGTGAGGGGGATCAGATAGGGGATGAGCCGTGTAGAGAGAAGGACGTACCGTGGAGGTCTGCATGTGTGACATCTTCATGTACATCAGTCCGCTGCTGAAGTGCTTCTGGTTGCATCATCGTAGTTTAGGCTAGCCATAGGTGTCGTGAGTCTGTGGTTGGGTGCCAGGTGCCATGTCGAAGAGCTACATTGGATACATCGTTGATAGTGGCGAATCAGAGGCCGAAATTGACAGTTGATTGAGTTCATTGCCTTGCCCTTATTTGGTGTGTACTTGGTGCATTCTGCTTTCGTTTCCTTCTTTATTTAAAAAAAAAAAAACAAAGAAGGGCGACTGCCTTGAGATATCATCATTGAACTGACCGGCCGGCCCTAGGTATGAATCAGAATGATATTGTTCTCTTTTCATCTTGATGGCATCTGGATTCGAACTTGGGTCTATGTTTCAACAGTTCAGGGGGGATGTACCAACTGAGCTAGGCCTCGTTGGCTCATTCTTCTATCTTTGCGACACACAACTATCTGGTTTTCAACAATGTGATGATGCAATTTGGATTTCAGTCATTCGCTGTCGCTCTCATTTTCCTTGCAAAATACTTTTTTTATTTTATTTTTAAATTTTTAATTTGGCAAAGAATTTCGATGTGACCCCTTGTGGCAAAAGTTGTTCAGTTTGTTTTTCTGCGCAACGTAATTTATTTTTTTTTTGCCACAGGGACCTTCCCTGCCCCTTGCCCGTGCAGGCCTCCCGGGCAACCACGGTAACCCAGGCCGCCCGATTGGTATTACAGATCCAAAAAAAAAAAAAAAAAAAAAAAGGGTGACAGTCTCAAGATGTATCCACAGGTGACCAGTCCCACGTAATTCCAGATCATTATTTATTCGTGATATTATTCCAACTCAATCCCAACTTCAGGATGCTATCCAGACCTTTTATTTTCCAAACCTCCAGCCTGGTTGGTTCTGTCCCGGATCCACTGTAACCATGCTCTTTCCCAAGTTTTCTCCTTTCTCCCCTTCTTTCTCTCTCTTCCTTTTTTTCTTTTTCAATTTGGACCATTTCTTGATTTACGTGTGTCATCCTTGCACGGGGGCCATGCTAATCTTCCTCCTCTGGAGTCTGTACCATTCCAATTTTAACGGATGCCCCGGTTTGCTCGTCTCTTCATTTGCAGCCTCAAATTGACATGGACGGTAACTGTATTGTTCCAATTTTAATTTTTAACGGATGTCCCGTTCCGCTCGTTTCTTCGTTTGCAGCCTCAAATCGAATTGGACGAATCAGATGAAGAGATGGAGCGAACACAACAGAGAAAGCTATTGGAGCAAGCTCACGGCTCGCCAATGGTTTTGACATCTCAGGTAAACAGATGTGTACACGATGGATTGAGCAAGAGGGACACGAACTTTGAAAGTAATGACAAAAATTAATCAGGTTGTAGCAGCTACTGAGTAAACCTGAGAACAGACTCTACAGAGTCAATTATGGACCCAGCCACCACACCGATAGGATGGAATTGAAGCATACTTGCAACCGCACGAGCCGCACATTCGTGCGGAGTTCCGTACGGAGTTCCGTGCGGGGGGTGCCTGTGCGGAATCGTGCAGGTTTTTTATTTTTATTATTATTATTTTATCTTTTTTTGGGAGGGGGAGCAGGGGGGCGTATGACAGGAAGATGGGGATATGGCAAGGAGGGGGGGATATGGAGAGGAGGAGGAGGATGTGGATGAGGAGGACGATGAGGATAGCGAGGACGACGAGGAGGCGTGCTAGAAACCCAGTTCATTCCGTTTTATTTCTCATTTTAGTATTTTGTAATACTTCAGGTTTACTTGTGTTATAACTTATTAGGTCTTGATTTTTTTGCTATGATTTTTTTAGTTGTTTATGTAGGAGCTATTGCTGTTCTATTTTTATTTGTGGTTATGATGCTAAATAAAGATAGCAGAAATTCACGAAAATGTATTACGTTATTTGCCTTTAGGTGGTATTATTGGACTTATCTTTTTGCTGGAAATTTTCTTACTTGTAGATAATGATTACATTCCAATATTACCAACAGAATTGGGGGAGGAGAAGAGATGGACGGTGGGAAAAGAGGAAGGGCAGGAGGAGGAGGACGAGTGGGAGGAGGAGGAGACATGGACGGCGAGGAAGGGGAGGACACGAGGAAGGGAAGGAGACGAGGAGGCATGGAAGATGAGGAAGTACGAGGAGGAGGCGGAGACAAGGAGGAGGAAGGGCAGGAGGAGGAGGACGAACAGGAGGAGGAGGAGGAGACGAAAAGGAGAAGGGAGGAGGAGACATGGAGGATGAGGAAGGGGAGGAGGAGCAAGGTGAGGCAATACTCCTGTATTTTTTTTTTCATCTCGCTTATAATTTTGGCGGGGGGCCTCAAACGCACCGTTTCGACCCAGGCCTTTTTTTTTTTCTGAGGGGGGTGACGGGTCGTTCTCCGCACACGTCATGCACCGCACGGGATCGGTTGGGCGCGTGCGCCGCACGTAGGGAACCGCCCACACGACGTGCGCTTGCATGTATGAATTGAAGATGTTAAAACACGAGTGAATATAAAAACGTATTAAAAGTCACTTCCTTTTTTTTCAGTTTTTAACATCACATTGCATCTCCTCTATCGAGGGGGGGGGTGAGAGAACCCCCCCCCCCCCCCGGGATTGAGGTTTGTGTTAGGGATGGCTCCAATCTATTGTTGGGGAGGAGCACTGCTGGAAAACGGGTCCAGCGCCATTGTTGTGTATACTTATGGCTATTTTTCAGCTAATAGGGCAATGTGGAGGAGAACTGGCCTCTTAGGCTTTGTTGTAGCTGGGTATTTACTATTTACTATTTAATATTTAATATTTATTCATTGCATTCCTAGCTAGCTCCCTCCCTCAGGTGTTATTGGGTCTTATTCACCCCACTCCCCCCCAACCATGACAGTTCCACTACGCTGTTGTCTGGAGGTGGGAAAGGATCCAATAACTCCATTACTGGCTTCCTTGGAAAAGAAGCATCAAACCGCCAGGATCCAGGGGGGTTGTGAGAGAACCCCGCTCTCACCCCCCTGAATCAGCAAACTGCAGGTGAACCCCCTGAGGTGTTGTAACTTGTAACCTCCCCCTGCACCCGTGCAATCTTCCTGGATTTTGGGCTGTTCAGCCATTTGTCACAGAATTTTTTGATTTTTTCTTTCTACTAAGTTGCCAGTCATGTTGTTCTTCGGGACATACGTTTAAATTGGAACAATACAGATAAGATTAGCATGGCCCCTGCGCAAGGATGACATGCATATATCGAGAAACGGTCCAAAAGAAAACAAAACAAAAAAAAAAGTCGCTAGTCATGTTTGTTGCTCAGATGCTTAAAGCACCAGTACATGGGCACCTGGGTCGTGGGCCTGACAGCTCAAATTCTGGAGGCGCGAAACGAAACCTTGACCGCCAATCTAATTTATCAACGGCGGGCACGGCGTTTGACGTTTCGGCCTCGTTTTCTTGTGGCAACAAGTTTTGGACTGCAAGGCTGGGGCTGTGTACTGGTGGTTTAATGTTGTTCAGCATCAGTTGCCATCCTCGCATGATGGTGGTTTGGATGTAGGTTATGGCCCGATCCGTGTTTTAACTCCACCATTCACCATACAAAAACCGCAACGCCATCAAAGCCGTCCTCCGCATGAGCGCACGCACACGACGGTCGTATCAGTGGAAAGGATCACTTAGCCCTAGTTTAATCAACGTCAAAAGTTGGCCGGCGGATGCGCAGGCTCTATAACATCAATAAGAAACATCACACGCGCCTCAAAACTGCGCGCCCACGCACTCTCCTCTTTCAGTTCAAACATTTAGTCATTGTAAAAGAAAAAAAACAGTCGTGACTCCTGCGGTGTGCTCAAATTTCATGTCTAAACTTATTTTCTGTCACTTGGAAATGCAATAACCCATGCCATATGTCTCCTGGAAACCTGAGGGTCGACTCGGCCGCCCTCAGGCCAGGCTGAAACAGGGGCAAAAGACTCCACGCGAGGACTCAGGGCCTGGACGTGCGGCAGTTGACTTTGGTCAACTGTCGGGATCCCAACTGTCAAAGTCCAAAGGTACCTAGCCCAGGCCGCTGGTCAAGCACGCACACTCGTTTGTATGCAGGTACCCAGACAGCATCAGTTCTAAGGGAGAAGTCTGCAACTGCATAATCCGGGCCCTCAGCTATGAGTCAATCTGGACGACTGTGGGAAAAGCACCTGAGGCCGGACAGCCTCGACCAATGTTACTTAAGGCTGGCCTCGAGTGAGTCAAGCATTGAGTCTTGCTATGCTGCTTTGACACTGGCTCTACTTTGACTAGACGCTGGCATTATGCTAGCGCGACGCTGGCTACATGCTGGTTGTGCGCAGGCGTTGCGGACGACAGCACGAGATGAAGGCAGCATGTTGGCGCTTCTTCTGTGCGCCAGGCATGATGATGTGGCGCTGCCTCTAGTCTACATGGTATGCTGAGGTGGCACTGCCTATGGTCTACATGGCATGTTGATGTGGCGCTGCTACTGGTCTACATTGCATGCTGATGTGGCGCTGCTTCTGGTCTACATTGCATGCTGATGTGGCACCGCTACTGGTCTACATTGCATGCTGATGTGGCGCTGCCTCTGATCTTCATTGATGATATGGTGCATGCCACCTGTCTCGACTGCTGACGTGGCGTTGTACATGCTGTCTACATGAGGTGACTGGTTGCGAGAAGGAGGAAGATCGGGATCTGTGGATGAAGGAGGTCGGGTACTCACCTGAGGTTGACTTCGTCATTGGAATCTGCTGTGACTTCATGGTCTTCATGAGATAAAGTGCCATGTGACACTATTGTGTGTGATCAGGAATATACTTATTATCATTGTTGACGTGGAGAGGGAAGAAGCCCGGAGAAGGAGAGGGGTCAGAAGGGATTATTACTGTGTAATCTTTCATCTTCTCCTTTGTCTATTCCCCCTCCACTCTCTTCTTGTGATGGTAATGAAATACTGTTTGAGATTTCACTTCACGATTTGGAGACTTGGATGCAGATAATGAGACTACTGATATTTGACGATTACTGAGTATCTGCCAGACTGGGTTCATTTCACGAAAACCAGGTTGGATAACCTTGCAAGGGGATAACCTTGTAAGGGTATTCGCACCGACAATGGACTGCAGACTGACGACCTGACAGAGACTGATGTCAGAGGGACAGGTCACAGGAAAGAACTCACTTGAACAAGGTCTTGATTGGAGATTGCCGCCGGTCAACTTTGACCGAAATGCAGGGGTCTGGCTGACTCACTGTCGGTCAGCGCCCAAACTGAATCGCCGAAAGTTCCAATCAGTTACCACCGATGATTCGCCGGCTGTTCTTCTCTGCAAAATGATATCCCCGAGCGGGGTCTACAAAACCGGTGGCTGAAACCTGACAATTTGAGGGTCACGCGACCCTCAGCTCAACCGGTCGGTTAATTAGGGTTGACGGCAACTTGACGCCGTAATTAATTTACCACCAGGGCCAGCTCATGCCGGGACACCACTCCGCCTTTTTTTCCTTCTTTTTTTTTCCGAACTCGCTTTCTCGCCAACGAACAGCAACTATCTCCGCCGTCGAATGTTGAAGATGACGGGGCACCGCCCCAAACCGCCAACCGCCAGCCAGATAGCCGACAGCCAATCAATCAATTCGCTGGATGCATGCGGTCCTGGCTCTGATACCAACTGTTATGTGCCTGATTTAAAAATGAATCCAGCATGACATTCACACGTTCCGATACACATGTGCAATGACAAGTAGAGTTGGAGAGACCAATCCATACCAAACCAGATGATGAGAATACACAGCGTAAGCACTCCAAACCATTAATAGAATTGAATTTAATTCAATTCTGATTATACCGTCTCTCCCCAATTCAATCAGCAGCACGAATTCCCAGGATCCCAACCGCGTTATCAACACCCACGAACCAAAAAAAAAAAAAGTTAAAAAAACAACTTTCATTAAGTATGGGAGACTTCTTCTTCCTCCCTCGATGTCAAGCTCTAGCCATGCTGCGACCAGGCGCCCAACCCAACAAGCCTACTAATCACCACACACCCTCTCGAACCCAACACGACCTTCTGCACCCATCAGGATGTCCACTGCAGAATGAAGTGTCCACCCCACAGGAAAGTATGGCTCCCAGGACGACGAAGAAGAACAACAACTGATGAAGATGAAGAGATGCAGCACTTCAAAGAAGACTGCCCAGTGAAGCTGCTTCGAAGGCAGATGAAATAACCCCAACCACACAGCAATTAGGAGGAGTCGCCTATAGGTCTGAAAGCCTGAACCCAGCACTGCCTGGAG